ATATCAAAAAAGAAAAAAAATTGATGACTTGGAAAAAAACAAGCCACAAAAATAATAAAAACAAGAACAAGAAGAGGAGAAGCTTAAATAACAATTAAATACTGAAAATTTAAGAAAATAGATATAGTGAGAACCTTAGAAGATGAAACCCAATCTTGTAGAAGAAGAGAAGCTTTGAAAACCTACCGGAGATGAGCCTTGGAAATTCCGTCGCCTGCGATTGAAATTCCTCCGCCCGTCGATTGAGGGAGAGAGGGTAGTTGACGATGATGAAAAGAGAAACGGCGTAGAGGAGATGGGATTGACGGAAGATAAGGATGAGACAAGTTTTTTTATTTGCAAAGAAATCCCTAGGACTAGATAGCAAATTTAGATCTATTTTGACTCCATTTAAATGACATGGCAAAAAAGCCACATGTCCAATTATGACTGGAACAAGTGTGGAGTGTTTCAAAACACACTCTTCACTAGGTGCACCGAAGGAAACGATACATTATTGGAGATGCCCATCTACAGCAAAACAGACCTCCACGATCGCCAGAAGCATCATTCCATCCATTATCAATGTCTGAGTGGTCTCAGCTCCCCGGAGAACTTATTGACCTAATCGCCAGCCACCTCGATTCCGAAATCGATTTCCTCCGCTTCCGCTCCGTCTGCTCGTCCTGGCGATCCTCCGTCCCGGAGAAACCCAACAACTCTTACCCCTCCCGCTTTCCCGTCATCCCAAATGACGGAATCTCCGATACCAGCTGGGGCTTTAAGCTCTCCAGGCGCCCCGTTTACATGATCCGATCTCCCGGACCTGATGACCCGACATTCTCACCATCCAATGCCTGGATCGTTAAGCTCGATTTTGAGTTTCCTGGCCGATCGCGATTGCTTAATCCTCTCTCCGGATCACATTTGAAGCTGCTCCCTTCGAATTTCCCCAAACGCCTCGATGTTTCGCAATACCACATTCACGAATTGGGCCAAGAGTTCGCTCTTCACTACATAAACTACAGGCCTTTGGCGACTTCAGCCGGCGAGGCTGCCAATCTTTATAGGGAGAAGGTCGCCTTGTGTCCGGATGAACACATGTTAGGGTTTGTGCTATTAACCATTCATGTTTCTGGGAAATTGGTTATTTATAGATCTGGTGGTTCCAAATGGACTGTAATCAACGACCTGAATTTACCTTATGATGATGTGATCACCAAGGGCGGACGCTTTTATGCTGTTGATAATATCGGAAGGACCGTGATTCTTAACCTGTATTCCAGCACGGACGTGAGTTTGAGTGTCGTTGCGCAGCCAGTTTTTGGTGGAGACAAGAAGTTCCTGGTGGAATCATGTGGAGACTTGCTAATGGTTGATAAGTACTTGACTGCCGGGCCTGAGGATGATCTAGGATACAGTGAAGGTTTTGAGTTTTATGAGGATTTTGATTGTTTCATGAGCGAGAGAACTGTGAAGTTTAAGGTTTATAAATTGGACGAAGCAGGAGGGAAATGGGTTGAGGTTTCCACTTTGAAGGACAGGATACTCTTCTTGGGTGAAAATTGCGCATTTTCTGCTACTGTCTCGGAGCTCAATTCTGAGTGCAAAGGGAACTGTATAGTGTTTGCAGATCTCTTATTCTACACGAGGGAAGAAGATGAAGAAGATGACGGTGTCTTAAAGTTACATGGTATAGCTGTCTATGACTTGGACACAGGCAGCATTGGTCCTATAAGTAGTTATGCTCGCTATTCTGAGCTATTTTGGCCACCTCCTCCTTGGATCTCTTCTACTTCACAGATCCAAGTAAGAAATTATTGATCTTTTCTTTACCTAATTCACTTGGTGTTATCCATTAGTGTTTCTTACATGTTTACTGATACAGCATTTCGGTTGAGGCTTATTTCTCTGTAAATAAAGTTGACCCAGAGTTCCCATGGGTTTCTCAATACTCTGGAACTTATATATCATGCATGTATGGATTTATGTTATCGTTGAACTGTTTGGCCTTAACTAGATGAGTTTCTTCCCAGTAGAGAGATTATGCAAGTTTTAATATGTAAACCTTATGTCTTTCCCTGCAAGTTGATGACATCTATACTCCGTAAGAGATATAAACTGACCAGAAATTGCATTATATTGGGCAGGACGGGATGGGCCAACTGCGTATTTGAGCTTCTTACGTCATAATAAGATGTGGAGAGATGAATTGACAATGCTGATGCCCCGGATGGTCTTGACGCCGTTTGACTCTCCGGTCTTCTTCTGTTTTAGCTTCTTAATTGCATACATTAATCTTCAATTAACTATGGGATAATGCGTCTTTTGGTGTTGGAAAAGATAGTTAATAAAGTTCATTAGACTTTTTGGTTTATCAGCTAGCCTAGAGATATTTTACTCAATGAATAGAAGGCTTGTTTTGCCTTTCAAAAGTGTTAACTTGTTTTGCAGTTTTGCCATTATTCAAATTGCAGGTAGAATTGGATCTAGTTACAAAGCAAACTGTCATAGCGGACTTGCTCAAGGAAAGACTCAGATGTGATAGAGAGTGAAGGAATATAGACGAAGAATCAATCAAGATCAAATTTCACATAAGAAAAGGTTGCAATGTGAATTATGAGCCCATCTAGTGACAACGTTAGATGTTAGAGTTATCATTTTAAAAAAGTTATATACAACAACACTTAGTTTTATCATTTTCAAAATTAATACACACCATTAAAAAATATCTAAAACACTAATCTCAAGGGAAAACATTATTCCTAAACAAGGCACATGAAGTTACGAAATTTGTGGCCGGACTTTGTTGTTTGATCGCCCCCTTTTTCATGATATTCTTATAAGAATGTTATTAATGGAGTACATAATTGGATACTTGTTTTTTAAGGTAATTCTTAACAAACTTTCGTATGATTTATGGTGAAAGAAAAAAACGGAATCTTTTCTTTTGAGCATATTTGTCTATTAATTAATCTCTAAATTAGTAAAGTTACTCATTAAAAATGTGTTTCAATACAAGAAACTTCGGAAAGAAAAATAATGGACGGAGGGTGCTAATTATGTAATTCAAATCCATGAATTTGCACATAATTAGAGCGTATATTTCGTAATTAATCACAAAGTAACTTATAAATTGTAACGAGACTAATTGGTTGAACGCTTGTGCCCAGAGCTTCTAGCGTTTAGCTGTGCAAAAGGATAGCGAAGAAATTACACTTCAAATCGCATATGTATTTTATCAGAAGCCAAACAGCAAAAGTTAACACGTTAATGTCTAGATTAATTTTTTAATTTCGATACAAATTGGCGTCACCAAATATAATGTGAGCAATTACACTTAGAATATCAAACATTAAATAAAACTCAATTTCAGTATCTTGTAAATTATACAAAATGTCAATTGCTATTTCCCTTTCTAAAAATGTGCCTTTTATGCCCGATAGATCAGAATAAATGTTCATAATTTCAAATTTATTGCACATTTGCATCTCTTAGATTGCGAATTACATGGATCAACAAACATACTCAATGAGACCGTGTGTTATGAAGCGTGAGGAGGGGCTTAACCACCCTCCCTCACGCCCCTTTGCCATTACACATTCCAAATGTGAGGGCATGGCCCCTGGCCAAGTGATAGCCCTCGCGCAAACGCTCCCCTTCCCCCCATATCTCACATATTTTTACTTACATACATCCGCCTACGTGATACTTCATCCAGCCCCGTCAAGCCTCACTATAACATATAACCTAATAGCTAATGAAAATTTTGATGACAATTGCTCATAATAAATGCAGAAAACCCAATATAAATGATGTTTCTTAATTTTTGTACTTTATACCATCTCCTTCTAGTAAAGCTATTTTTGTTTTGACTTTGTTTATCAAACAATGATACTCTTTGATTACAAACTAATCATAATTTTAATAAATAGATATTATAAAAGTTTGATATTTCAAAAATTTATTATAATATGAACTCAATTATATTAAATTCATATTAAAACTAATTATTTTTTCATAATTCATAATTAAAAAGTGTCACTATTTGACTAAAAAATTAAAAAAGAATACGTTTTCAAGAATGGAGAGGTTTACCGAATAGGGAGTACAATCTTGTATTCAAACGCATTCGGGCATTCCTATTCATTTTTTCGGGCAAGGAATAATGAGCATTTATTTTACGAGTGTTTCTTTGGTACGCATTGAGTGCATATTATTTTCGATCTTCTTAAATAAAAAAATTTATTTTTTATTTTTATTAAAAAACAAATATTTATTTAAATAGAATGGAGAGGTAGTTTACCACATTTTTTAAGGATGAATAGGGAGTAAAATTAAACAAATATTAATAAAATGGGAGCGGAGTAAAAAAAAGAGCATTTATTTATTTATTTACAGGGGAGTAATTCTGTTCACTAATGTCATTTGTCAATTGGACCTAAAGGGGGCCGGTTGTGGGTAGTGGGCAACCACTTTCTTCCAAACAAAGAGTAGGTAGCGGAGGAGAAATAAGATTAGAGAGCGGCCGGAGAAATGGGGGCTCCATCCGCCGCCGCAATGCATGTGAAATCGGAGTCGGAGGTGACGAGCGTGGACGCCTACTCGCCGCCGCGATCCCCCAGGCGAACGCTGTACTACGTTCAAAGCCCATCTCATGACCCGGAGAAAATGTCGTGCGGGTCCAGCCCCTGCGGGTCCCCGACCCGTCAGTTCCAGTACCACTGTTCCCCCATCCACCACTCCAGGGAATCCTCCACTTCCAGATTCTCTGCCTACCTCAACCACAAGACCGCCGGCAGGAATGTGAATCCGCCGCAGCCGTGGAGACGCCTGTCGCCGCCCTCAGATCCCGACGACGGGGGCCGGCTCCGCTCCCCCGTCAAGTTCTACTTCCTCTGCTTTCTCTTCTCATTCCTCGTCCTCTTCTCGATTTTCTCCATCATTCTCTGGGCCGCCAGCACACCTTACAAGCCCAATGTGTTCGTCAAGGTACCCCCCGTATCCTAATTAATTAATTAATTACTCAATTGAATAATTTCCTTTCCTTTTTAAGCATATTTCTCCATTTTCTTGAGTTATATGCCCGACTCGGGTGTGGTCCGATGTCGAGTTGACTCAATTGGATAATTGAGTCAAAAAAACCAAAAAATGAGATTAATTATTATGACGATAATTATTGGAGGGGACAGAGCATAAGAATAGAGGAGTTTAAAGTTCAAGCGGGAATGGACGGGAGCGGGGTGCAAACGGAGATGGTGAGTTTGAATTCAACGGTGAAGATGTTATATGGCAATCCGGCCACCTTCTTCGGCGTCCACGTCACCTCCACCCCTTTCCAGCTTTCCTACTACACCCTTAACATCGCCACCGGTCATGTACGTACCCTTTTTTTATTCCCTCTTCATTATGAATTTATGATTATGCTCCTTTTCATTCAGAAAATTACTTCAAATCCTACATTATCTGAAATGTATTTGGGCGTGTCCTCAATTTTTTAGTAAAAGCTTAGATTCATACTACTTCCGTCCCACTCTCTTTGTCCACTTTTTACTTTTGGAACTGTTCATCTAAACACTTTAACTCATCAAATTCTCTCAATGTGTAAACCTAAATATAGTCATGTATGATCTTGTTTGATTTGTCTTAACATATAGATTATTAATATATAATTTCTATAATTTTTTAATATACAAATTACATGATAAAATGAATTAAAAAAGTGCATTGGATGGTGTGTCAAAAGATAAGTGGACAAAGCGAGTGGGACGGATGAAGTATTTTAGACAACTTACTCTCATTTATTCTCTAATACCTAAAAAAAGACCTCATTTCACTATTTCAAAACAAAGGTACACCCTTCCTTTATACGGAGTAAATATTTTTATCATAGTTTAATTTTATTTTTGTCAAAGCATGCAACACTTTGATTGTAAATTAGATATAGTTTTAAATAATTAAATATTATAGATATTTTATACTTCTTCCATATATCACTTGTATCTTTCCGTACACTATACATAGAGTCAAATTTTATATAGCTTGGTTTCTTATTTGCAATTGGATAAAGTAATACTAGCAATCTAGCATGTTACATCTAGTCTTGTTGATTTTTTGATATAGTTTTAAATACTCCCTCCGTCCCTAAATAGATTACAATTTTTTTCTCTCTCTTCTCGATAACTTTTGTTTGTTTATGCGATTTCATTAAGTATTTGATTAGATAAAATATTCTTGTCACCACTTATTTTGTAGAACTTTTGACGTAGTTTTTTAATATGTAATTTTTATATCTTATTGATATACCAAATTGTAAATAAAATGATTTCAAAAAGTAGGAAAATTTTACTCCGTAACCCACAATTTGTAATCAAATTGGGGACGAAGGGAGTATGTAATTTATATTTTTTAATTTTACAATTACAATCAAATAAATTGAATTAAAAACAAAGTCGTAAGTATTGTAAGGTAGACCGAAAAGATTCAAATGGAACAAAGAAAGTATATCAAAAATATAGTTTAAATGAACTAAAATGAACTCAATTTAACTAAATTTACTTTATAAGTAAATATATTTTTTTCTTTCTATCATTAGTGACCAAAGTATTGTACAATTAGATTTTAAAAAAAATCAAACTATGTAAAGAATCGTTTTGCAACGGAAAAAGTGTTTAAATGTGAAATCACTTGAATGGAAAGAAGTAGAGGGTCCGTTTTGAAGTGAATTAAGGGGTTGCGCTTTGGGGATGCGCGTCCTAAAGTCTCCGCATTAGGACGAGTTTGGTGTGATCAATTTGGTCGGTCATCCAAATGACAAATCATAGCTATGCCCCAGAATTGACTACTAGTTTCTGGACCCCACACTGCACCCATTACGGTGTATTTATTGATTTCCCCACTGCAAAGGGAAGGGCATAATGGTTCCAAATATATTTCGGTTAACTAATTGGAATAGGATCATATCCTCACAATTCAAACGAGTTTTACATAGAAAATTGATTGATTCCCTACTCTTTTAAAACCAAGGGTACCATGTCATATACTCCATCACTGTCTAAATATTAGTATAGAAAAAAATTTACATATTTAATTTGTGTAAACATAAATAGAATGATACGTCATACTACATTTGTCATATGGTATTTGTTCACATTTGAATATTTGATTGTCTGTAATCAAAATATATTCTAGCATTAATTAAATAAAATTCATATCCGAGTTATTAATTAATTATTCAATTTCCTTGGGTGTGCATATATATACATGCAGATGAAGAAGTTTTATATGGCGAGGAAGAGTAAGCGGGTAATGGTGACGGTGGTTGAGGGGCACCAGATTCCTGTTTATGGGGCGGTGCCAATCCTTGACGGCGGCGGCACGGTGTCTTTGCCCCTCAATCTCACATTCGTCGTGCGCTCACGGGCCTACATTCTGGGCCGGCTGGTCAAGTCCAAATTCTACACCCACATTTTATGCCAAGTTGCTCTCAGCGGGAATCATGTTGGCAAGCCCATTAACCTCGCTACTCCCGGATCTTGTACTTATTATCATTGAATCAATTATTATTACTCTACGGACTAATATTCTATTTTGGCCTACTAAATTTATTCTGTTTATACTTTTAATGATTATACATACCACTCCATGATTGTATAGGTAAATAAAATTTAACACACGCAGTAAATCTCAACAAAAAGAAATACAGCAAATATTTAGGGCTTAAAGAAGCTAATTTTGACCCCGGTATCGACCACAATGTATAGACTAGCTGCAATGACGCTTCCGCTGAGGCCCACGCCGGTGAACCCTAGGACCCAGTTGAGCCACCACATCCCGCCGTACCTCTTCGGTTTCTTTGCCTTGAGCCACATGAAACACGGGTAGGAGAATGTGACCGGCAACGCGATCCCTCCGATGAGACCGGCGAAGCTTGCCAGGAAGGGAATGGCGACGGCCATAAAGTAACAGACGAAGGCGAAGACTGCCCGGAGGACGCCCCTCGTCCACCACGGGCAGGCCCTGTTGAACTTGGTCGTGTAGACGGACTCCATGTCGTCGAACGTGGGCATCGCGTATATCTGGAAGGAGCTGAGGGCGTTGAGTATGACGCAGATGCTGACGAGGCCCAGCACGCCCCTGCTTACGTCGTGCCTGTGGAAGGTGAAGAGCGCCGTCAGCATGCCGCTACCGTTTGGCGGGATCAGCTGCCCGTATGCCCAGTAGCCACCGACTGCAAGCGGGAACAGGCACAAGGCAACGAGCAGGTACGCGAGCTTCACGCCCCTCCACATTGGCACCCTCGATGACTGCTTTTCACTCGAAGGCATTGTTGCCTAATATATTGCAATACTTTAACTATTAATATCTTTATTAGTTATGGTACTAAATTCAGAAAGTCATTACGTTTTAGTTATCCATCCGTCCCTTTAAACATTAGATTAGATGCTTTGATTTTGAAGAGATTTAAAGGGAGTGTATTTTGGTATTAAATTTTCAAAAATGTCCTTTGATGTGATGAGTAAAAGTAGAATTGATAGGTAGATTATTAATAAAAAGGTATGATATGATAGGTAGGGTATGAAAAAGTAAGGGGTAAAAGTGACATTTTATTAGAAATAAGAAGTGTTTTTTGGAACGGATAAAAAGAGAAAAGAGAAAGATTTTCAGGGAGGGAAGTACTCTCTATTATTTAGCTAAATTTCTCCAAAATAATACGGAGTATAAGGATAAGGTATTTGCTTAACCAAGAGTTGACCAAACATATTCATTTAAAAGAAAAAGGTGAGGCCAGGGGTCAAGGTAGGTGGTGGTAGGTTGACTACGTACCTGTATCTCTAGGATGAGATTGTGACCTCTGAAGGCGAAAGCTATGATCCCAACGGCGTTCAGAATTTCAAATACCCTTCCCAACTGCGTGCCGCCCCGTCGTTTGATGGGGTGATAGGAGACGTCGGGGAGGCGGCCCTGTGCGACGGAGACGGCCCATATGAGGGTACAGTAGGCGATGGCGGTGAGTGCTCCGACGAGGGAAACACCGGCGATGGAGTTCAGGTTGGGGAGCTGGGAGAGGAGGAGGGCGGCGCATGTGAACACCAAGTACCACTCCGCATTGGTCAACGGGTTTGAGGAGGAGGCGCACGCGGTGGTGGTCCCGCCGCACAGCGTCTGGTAAAGCATATTGGCCGTTGAACCCCCGATGATTATGAGGGTTGTACATGTTCCCGCCGAGAGATACCCGATCGGAAATGCCGCCAACAATTTCCCCCATTTCTCTCCTGCATATCATGTTCCACATGCGTATGTATAGATATATATATTCACACTTTAAATTGCTTTTTAAGAATTTCAATATAGTATAAAAAGTCAAACTAAATCAGTAATAGTAACTGACCGAAGGTTGCAGTGGCTAATTGCATGTATCTACTGTAGCGAACTCCGGCATCGACGTTCTCATGGAGTTGAACCATGGCGTAGAGCGTGTAGAGCTGCCATATAAACGCCCCTGCCAAGCACCCCATTCCCCATGCCCTGTACACGCACAACAATTTAATTATCAAATTCAAAACGTCATTATTAATTAATTAATACTAAATTAATTAGTAGGTACCAGCCAAGAATGGTGAAGGAAACGGGGAGAATAAGTGCTTGAAATCCAATCCCGGAGCAGAGAGTGTGAAAGGCGGCGTAGAAAGCGTTTCCGTTTCTTGACTGGGTGATGGGAAGCCACGCGTCTTGCGGGTCCAGCCTCGTCATTCTCAGTGCCTTCCTCAGCGGGCTGCCCAACGGCGTCGTGAACCTCGATCGCTCCTTCGGGGTTCTGTTCGGCGCGCTTCCCGACGAGGCTCCTCCACCACCACTGCAGGGGAGGTCCCCGGCGGCCGTCGTTATCAGCAAGGGGGATCGGGACATGGACGGCGAGTGGTACTGCGACGGTGGACACGACTTTATTGAATCCTCCTGCTCCGCCGCCGCCGCCGGCCTGGGCGTCATCGGAGCAGACCCAACGCCACCGCTACGGCTTCCTGCTGCTGCTGCTGCTGATGAGTCGAGTTCCATCTTCAATTTGTAACTCGATTAGAATTCTTCACTATTAAAATATTCGATTGATGAAGTATGCCGGCCTGATGATCGATTATTCTGTGTGAAACAGGATTGCACATCCGCCGTCCGGTTTACAGAAACAATAATTAAGAACGTTCACTCTCCAAGTCTATTGGTGGGAGTGCATCATATAAGAACGTTTACTCTCCAAGTGGGGTCCATGATTAAATTTTGTTTCTTCACTATTTTCTTTAAAAACTAAATTTCAGAAAATTTATTATAGAAAAATGTTTTTTTTTCACTTAATTTTTTTTATGTATGTAACCAAGCAAGGGTAGGTGAACCACAAAAGACCAAATGCTATTGCTATCCATATTAAGATGCGCTATTTATGTGAAGGACGCAAGATAACCTCCTTCCTTCCGGATGGATTTTGGGCCGGGCCATATACTCCGTATTTCATTTCAATTATCAAACACTATTAGGCTTCCTTTTGTATACGTAATTCAAATTATAAAATTAAAATTGATAATAACAATTTTAATTCTATTATTTGGTAGCATAAAAATATAAAAATTTAGAATTGGTAGTGTAAAATTGAATTGGAATTGGGAAATTCAATTTCATCTAAATTAAGTTAATAAAATTTCAACTCTATATTGAATTCCAATACCGCAGATTTGTGCAGCAAATAGACGCTTAGGCTCCGTTTGGTTCACCTAATTTACAGAATTGGAATTGAATTGGCAGTTGAAATTCTATGAAATTGATTTGGATGGAATTGAATTTTTCAATTCAATTTTGACACTACCAACTCTAAATTCATATATTTTTGCGTTACTAAATAGAAAAATTAGATTTGTTGTCCATAATCTGAATTCTAGTGCTATTTGCCGTCTAATTGATGTTGGAATTTTACAAAAAAATAAAGAAAAGAAGGGGGGGCTAAAAAAATGGAAATTGATTTTAATGTGTTTTGATCTTTAACAAAGAGAATAATAAGATCATGGCTTCAACTTAACCATCATTCACATTGTTTTGGTAACAATGATACTTAACATACATTTTATTCATACTCATTGTGTGCGAACACAAGTCTCACGTACACAGAGCCAATGGGTGGGCGTTGCTTGGTTTAAGTTTTTGGTACGGTGTGCCTGACCCCTTGCCCTTTTTTACGCATGGTCATTTCAATTATCAAATGGTAATCCCGAAAATATGAACAAAAAAAGCAATAAATCTAATAATGTACTCCCTCCCTTCCATATTAACTGTTTATTATGACTTTCTAGGTACATTGAGAAGTGAATGAATATAGACATACTTTATGTCTACATTCATTCATTTCTTAATATACCAAGAAAGTCAAAAATATGGAATGGATGGAGTAATTATCACCCTTGTTTGAAAATAACATACAATCGATCCAACTATTACAAACCTAGAGCATTCAACATGTAAATTATAAGGTCTTTTCAAGTGATCGAGAAAATCCATAAATTGGAATGCCACAGGGCAAAGCACGTGGCGGCCGGGCAGAGCCAGTCTAGATATCCGGCAAGGATATATAGGGGAAACGACTGAGATTTGCGAAGAGTTGACGACAAAGTAAAGTTTACGTAGATCAAAAGAGAGATTGAAATATTTAAAGAAAAGAAGAAGTCGTTTTAGCTCGTCGGATTTGCTCATCGTGGAAAGAAGCTCAGTGTTTAGCCGATTTATTGTTCTTGGTTTCACTTTGCCCGAAGTTTGAGAAAATAATCTTTTTGCCTTTTATCTTTCGTTTTAGAAAAAATTATTTAAATTTATTTTGAAAAGAAACGTACGTGGTCTGAAATAATCTTTTTTGCTTTCGATCTTTTCTTAGAAACAATTTTGATTTAAAATAATTTGTTCTAGGAAAAAAATATAGGAAAACTCTTGTGTAACGGATGAATATGTGAATTGTGATCTAATATTGTTGTGCGGAAATCGAGAATAACAAAATATAAACGAGAAAAATACGACAACAGATTTAACGTGGTTCACCAACGTTGTGTTGGCTAGTCCACGGGGAAGAGGGGGAGCAGTTTTATTTCTGATGGAGAGGCAAAAACAGAATACAGAATACCACACATAGGGTTTGTGGTAGCACCTATATAAATAGTGCTTGGCGAAACCCCAACAGACTTAGGCCCAAAAACGGCAGAAATAACAGATTATTAAACAGCCCAATTAGAATGGGGTTCGGACATCTCAGGATTCAGACCTCTTAGGATTCGGATTTCTTGACTTCTCCGGAATGCAGATTTCTTGACTTCTCCGGAAGTCGGATTTCTCAACTTCTCCGGAATCCGGATTTCTCAGAAGTTGGACTTCTCTGGATGTTGTAACGAGTCAGATTCAAGGCATTACAACAAATCTCCACCTTGACTTGAATTCTCCATACAGATCCTTCAGATTCAGACGCACTTTGGTTGTGCCTGGCCTCCTCCTCTTCCTCAGAATTGCCCCGCAGGGCTACTAAAAGCTTCTGATGTTAAGCAAGTCCAAACAGTGTTGAAACTTGCTTTGCGGAACCAGCTTTGTGAACATAT